ATCTGCCTGCTGGTGGTGATTGTGAGGTCCTTGTGCCTGACGGCGTGAGAGGCCTGTGGCGGGGGAGGGTGGGGGGGGGGGGGGGGGGGGGGGGCTGTGCTGCAGCAAGAGCCAAGCAGGAGTTGGGCCTGGCAGCACCACTGCTGGGTGGGCTGGGCTCTTGGAAAGACACACGGGAGCAGGCCACACCTGAGACAAGGTGTGCATGGCATGGTTTATGCACGGCATGGTTTATTTAACCCCGGCTAATAGCTCGCCCGCTCTCCGTCCAGGCTCGCCCCGCAGCTCTGGCGTGGGGAACTGCTCGTCGCTGCGCTGCTGGAGCTGAACGGCAGCGTCTGACGTCCGCAACTGTCTCACTGCGGCCCTTATTTCCTCGCAATGGGTTAGAGCACGGGGCATTTTTGGTTTGTCCTCCCAAAATCCACAGTCTCTGCAGCATGCAGGTCAGGCCCCCTCCCTCGGCAGCCATGTGGGGACCCGGGTCCTACCTGCCGCTGTCATGGGAGCCCCTCAGTCTGGAGCCTTCCCCATCGCCCACTGCTGCACTGCAAGGAAGGTTTTAAAGAGTTCCCAAGTCTTTTAAAGACTTTAAGAGACTGAAAGTCTCTAAAAGGCTTTAAAGCATTGCTAAGAGACTTCCTTTAATTGCAGCAGAGAGCAGCAGGGAAGGCCTCAGCGCAAGTGAGTAGTAGTGGGGCCAAAACAACCCCGTGGGCTTTGTTGCCCCCATGAGGCACTTTGTACATCAGGCTTAGTGCTGCAAGTGCCATGGGCCCTCTGGGGGATGGTGATGAATTTAGGAGCAGATGTGTTTGAAAAACAAGGGAACCCCAGCACCTGCCCCCAAGCCAGAAGGTACATCTAATGGGTGCAGGGCGAGTGGAGGGACGGGGGGGTAGCTCTTTCTCGGGAAAAGTTGTCTGGGTCACCGGCGTGATTCTGGCTGGTCTGTGCCAGCATGTTGATTTGCACCCTTGGGCTTGCTCCCTCCTGGATTTGGAAGAAAGGGAAAAATATCCACGAGAGTCCGAGATTTCTGCAGAAATCCACATGGAGACTGCCAGACAGACCAGCCAGCGTTCCGGCACCATCCCAAGCAACAAGAGCACCCCTGCGAAAGAGCCCAGAGGAGGAAAAAGGGGCGAAGAGCGCCATCAGGTGGACTTCCCAACTACAGGGTTGGTCTTTCAGGCTGGGGGATCTGCTGGCTGCTGCCCCTGAGAGCCCTGTGATGTCACTGGAGCATCGCTGTGTCCCATGACATCATGCCTGTGAGGTAGCCACAGAGTCAGGCGCAGCTCACTTTGCCCCACGCTCGCGACTAGGTGGCACGCGAGGCGCCGAGGGCCCGCCAGGGGTGCGGCTTCGCGGCTGGGGCCTTGCTTTGTGGCTAGCAGCAGTTCTGCCTGGTTGACGCAGCGGCTGCGGACCCTGCAAGGCTGCTGTCCTGCGGCCAGGGGTGCCCAGCGGGGGCCAGGGCGTTGGACAGCCCTGAAGACTCTCGGGGGGCTCCCCGCCCTGGACAGACAA